TATTTGCTAAATTTACTATTTCGGCCATGATATTCTTCTGCTTGCTTTGTTGTTTACAACTTCTGCTTTGTGTTTGGCCTTCTCAGATTAGGTGAAGCAGTGGATCGGACACTCCTCAACCATCTTCTGAAGATGTTTACTGCTCTGGGAATTTATGCACAAAGCTTTGAGAAGCCATTCCTTGAGTGTACGTCAGAGTTTTATGCTACTGAAGGCATGAAATACATGCAGCAATCGGATGTTCCCGATTATTTGAAGCATGTGGAGGTGCTTCATTCTCCTACTTATATTATCTTGTCAGCATCTTCTATTGACAATATTATGTGCTCTTCACTAATATTTAATATTTAGGGCCTATTTGTTTAAGCTCTTTTAATGTCAAATTCACTTTTTTTTTTTGGCTGAAAAAAATTACTTTCAAGAAGTTTTATGATGTTTGTTTTAGCTTTTCAAAATAATCAAGATATAGGAAAAAGCAGAGTTTTCACTAGTTTGAGATGAGAAGCTTCTGAAGATAATTAAATGTGTTAAATGCCAGAGAATGTTCATACAGGTATCAAGATACATAGTGATATCTTAAATTTTGAGAATCGGTGTATAATAAATCTTTTTTTTTTTTTTTTAATGAGCAGAGCTATATATAGCTATCATAAAATCTGAAAATCACTAGATAAAAAATCATTTTTTTAATGATTATAACCAAACACAGTAATTTTTTAAAATAAAATCTCCTCATAATAAATCACTTTTCATAAAGTATCTAAACTATCCAGACTTATTTTTTAGGCTTGAACAAACAGGCCATTAATGAATGGGTCGTGCCATTATCTGTCAGAATTTTATTTCCATTAGGTTTTTCTTCACACTTCTAATCTTTCCATGTTTTACAATGTGTATGTGCTGTTGGGATATTTGTATATATCATAGACGAGATTGCACGAAGAGCATGAAAGATGTTTGAAATATTTGGATGCAAGTACTAGGAGACCTTTGATAGCCACAGCGGAAAAGCAGCTTCTTGAATGTCATATACCTGCCATACTTGATAAGGTGCTGATTAACTTAAGTTTTCAGAATTTCCTTGGGTGAAATGTCTCTTGTATGATGCGTTCTCTATGTTGTTTCTTCTAATTTGTTATCATGATTGAGTTGAACAGGGTTTCATGGTGCTTATGGATGGAAATCGGATTGAAGACCTTCAAAGAATGTATTCACTCTTTTCAAGGGTCAATGCCCTTGAGTCACTAAGGCAGGCCCTGAGTTCATACATCAGGAGAACTGGGCAAGGAATTGTTATGGATGAGGAGAAAGATAAAGATATGGTTTCATCCCTTCTGGAATTCAAGGCTTCTCTTGACAAAATATGGGAAGAAAGCTTTTTCAAGAATGAGGCATTCTCTAACACTATCAAGGATGCATTTGAGCATCTTATCAATATACGTCAGGTGTGCTCCGTTCATATGCTATCTATTATTCCAGCTTCATTTGAATAGTTTTCACAAATAAATTTAAAAATGTCTTGAGATTGACAACTTCTGTTAAGCTTGGGTTCAGCTTTTATGGGTATTTCTCATTTGCGTCAGCTTGTCATTTTTGTTCCTCTTACTTAAAATTGAGACAAACTCTCCTCACGCTTAAGAAGTATGTTATTCATGCATGTTTAGGGTGTATAGTTGATAGGTACTGAACAAGCTGGTTGCGTGGGGAACTAAGCGGGGAAAGTCTGATCGGAAATATCATTGGCCCTTTTTGGTTTGTCTTTAGATGATGGATTTGGATGCTGATATGATAACGAGAAGTAATGATGGATGATGACTCTAAGTAATAATTTATAGAAACGATTTGTCACATTCTGATAACCATGATTGACTTATTTTCAGCTCCAAAACATCTCAAAATGTGTATATTATTAACATCCATTGTAGATTTTGGAATCTATGTAATATTTGCAAGTTTACCTCTTGTATGAGGAAACAGCAATGATACTATGTTCAAAAATTTTTTAGAGTGGACACAATTAAGAACATTATATAATGCTATGCTAAGTAAAGGTGATTTTAAGGTTTTTTATTTTACATATAAAATTCACTTATCTAGAATTAAGTGCTAATAAAAAAAATCCATTGTAGAAGCCTTCTTATAATGAGGTAAGATCACTAGGTAGTTGCTGCTGTAGTAATGTGAACATTAGGTGGAAGTCTAATGCGAGGAATATTTGAATGTCGTCTTTAGGTTTACTCCTTACTTTACTGCTTTAGCTTTGAAGTTCAAAATTTTTTTTCCCTTCCAGCCGAGGATGAGAGACTCTTTTACAGATTTTCCAAGTGGTTTTGAATTCCCCTTTTGGCCATTTCCATTTGTTACTGAACTTTTCCGCCTGTCAGTGGCGAGACTCTGCTTTATCCATATTTATGAACAATGGGCTTTTGCTTTAGAGTGTTTTTATGAATAAGCTAAATTCACATTTATCCCTCTGCTGGTTTAAGCTTTAAGGTCAAGTGATTATTTGATGCATACGAATATTTTGGGCATTGAATTCACTCGTTGTGCTACCATGACAGAACCGACCTGCAGAGTTGATTGCCAAGTTTTTGGATGAGAAGCTTCGTGCAGGTAACAAGGGTACTTCTGAAGAGGAGTTAGAGGGTACACTAGATAAAGTCCTAGTATTATTCAGGTTCATCCAGGTACATTCAATGTTCCGTTGTGGGAGTAACAAATAGTTCCACCTTGATTCCTGCAATTTCAGTTTGTGATGGCATTATGTACATTCATTTATCTTCCTCTCCATACTGATACTGGGAAAGCCATTTGGCTTTATGGTTGTTTAAGGGCAAAGATGTTTTTGAAGCATTCTACAAGAAAGATCTTGCTAAAAGATTGCTTTTGGGAAAGAGTGCTTCTATTGATGCGGAGAAATCTATGATCTCAAAGGTTAAGATTTTCTACTCTTTATTGACTTTTGAGGCAAATCAGTTTTTCTCTATCAACTGTTTTAGTAGTATTAACAGTTTTCTTTTATTGATACAGCTGAAGACTGAGTGTGGCAGCCAATTCACAAACAAATTGGAAGGAATGTTCAAGGTAACCATTTTTTGTTTCAAAAATCGATCTTAAATTTCTGGAAAATGACTCAACTTTGGCTCCTAATGCACAGCTTAATCAATGAAGTTTTGGTAGGTTTCTTATTATTATTGTCACGTCTAATTCTTTTTATGATGCAATCTCCTCCAATTTTTATTCTTTTCAGACAGTTTTAGCATTGCATAGAAAATTGGAGGCTTTGCAATTTTAGCATTCGGCAAGAGATTCTTTTCTAGAATACTACTATTATTCTCCATTTTACAAAGCATGAGTTCACACTTTCCCTTGCTGCTGCCACTGCTAGCTTATCTGTCACCACCAAAACCATCATTACTTTTCTCACTGTCACTGGCACATTAGTTCTGCCCATTACTTGTGTATTTGTGCTGCTTTTGCGGTGTTATCTTCACTTTATCACGTACCATGTTTGCTACCACCAACATCTGGCATATTGTGTATTTCTGATGCTATAGCATTGTTGTGTCCATTATCACCCCGATGACAACCAATGGCATCGCTAAAGCTATTATAAAATGCTCTTCCACCATTGCATCACTACTGCCATCCACATCAACCAATTAACCAAAGGTTCTCAATGGGTTTTCTCTAATACAAACAAGAAAAGAGGGTTAGAGATCATAAAGCTATCAATTTCTTGTGATTAATAAATTTGCTAGTTATATACTACCTCTAATCCTAAATATAGGAGCTAGACAAGGTTTTTATTTTGGTCTTAAATATAAGATTTCAATTTACATTGTATCCCAAATTTATAATTTTTCGTATCCCTGTTGATTGTACTTAATGAGCTGGGAGGGTTTCCATCCATGGATAGGTACAATGCACCTAATTAGAAAGGGTATTCTAGAAAAGCAACACATATTTGTTACGAAAAACTAATGTGACTAATTTTCTTAATATCCATAAATTAGCTATCTATATTAAGGGCTGGCAGAAGTAGCATTTATGCAGTGGTAATGTTTAGAATCTAGAGAATTTAATTTAGAAGTGAGTTGATTGTTGGGGAAAAGGTTACTGTGAATCTTGGAAGGCTAGAGATCATAAAGCTATTAATTCTTCTGATTTCAGAAAGTATCATATGTATGTAGCCATTGCTTTTGACCCGGATCTAATGGCTCCAAAAATGTAGTAACAAGAGGCAAGTATAAATGGTTAATTTGTACCCTGTGTGTGCACGTATATAAAATCTCAAACAAGTTATTATATGATCTTAAGATCAAGAGATCAGGATGTAATTCAATTTAAATAGAAAAAGGGTTGAATGAAATTCTCTGTTAAATGAAGATAGCAAAGGTAGACGTGTTGATCTGACGTTACATGTACTACCGGTGTCCCAATGTGAATTTGTGTCGCAAACCGTGTGGCATAACGGTAGAAAACTGTATTATAGTTGGTTCTTTTGTTTTTAATTGTGCGAGCTTTTCTACAGACGTCTCACTGGACCTTTTAGGAATTTGACCATAGAAGAATATATGTTTGGAAATAATTATCAACTAAATTTGAGAAGTAAACAAATAGAAGAGACACAGAATTTATGTGAGCGTGAGCCTACATCCATAGGTGAAGGAAGAACAAAATACACTAACTGAATGAAGAGTACAAAATATGTGGTGAGCAACACTGAAAGCCCACAACCCCTAAAAACTCAGAAGGGCAGCTCACAAAATGCAATTATGCGTGTATGGTGCTTTGTTGTTTCTGGGGGATGCATGGAATGGCTTCTTGAGGCCATACATATACGGTGAAGAAATTGGCCACTGAGACGAGATCAATGGTCGGGATAATTTTCTTGATGGCCAAGTAAATTCAGTGGTGACTTGGTGGCCCAGTAAATTGCTCTGGCTCCAAGTAGGCAGGAAAGCCACTTCACAGTACCTGTTAACTTTATCATTAAAATACTTGATATTTATTTTTTAGGTATCTTTGCATAATAAAATGCATCTATATTGAGATCTCATGCTTAAATTTTAATTTATAGTTCACTCTTAACTAACGTATGAAAGATGGGCTATATGAGTTTCATGATGCACTATTGTATATTTACAGCTTCTCACAGATATCCTAAAATTTATTCTCATTCAGGACATTGAATTATCAAAAGAAATAAACGAGTCCTTCAAACAGTCATCCCAGGCTAGGACAAAACTCCCATCAGGGATTGAAATGAGCGTTCATGTCTTAACAACAGGGTAAGCTTTGGGATATTATCCGTGATCTTAAATGAATTTCTATGCACTTCTTGTTTCGATGAAGTGTAATTGTGATTGGATGAGTGCAGATATTGGCCAACGTACCCCCCCATGGATGTGAGACTTCCTCATGAATTGAATGTTTACCAGGTTTGGCACAAGCCACTAGTGATGCATTATTTATGTTGGTTGTTGCCATCTTTTTCTAGTGACTTTCTTGACATGGTGCTTTCCTTCCTTTTTTCTTGAACAGGATATATTCAAAGAGTTCTATCTAAGTAAATATAGTGGAAGGCGTCTGATGTGGCAAAATTCTTTAGGTCACTGTGTCTTAAAGGCAGAGTTTCCTAAAGGTAAAAAGGAGTTGGCTGTGTCCCTCTTTCAGGTTGGCGTTTGAAAAGCTTAATCTCCGTTCAATTCATGTTCTTCTGTCTTCTTGAACAAACCCTTCTTGTCCAGTTTATTTAAGTGTTTGCTTTCACATTCCCTTGTTTAAACATGTCATATGTATGATTTTTTACGACGCAGCACATCATGATTAGTTATTCTAGAAAAGTTCCTTCTTTTTTTTGGGGGGGGGGGGGGTAGAACTTATTGGGGATGTTACCTTAGTTGTCCTTTTTTCTCCATTAATTCTGCGTGCCTGTCTGTGTTCAGTTCTGACATTCTGGTAACTTTAATGAGTTGTGGTCTAGACTGTTGTTCTGATGCTATTCAATGACGCTGAGAAATTAAGCTTCCAAGACATTAAAGATGCTACCGGTATTGAAGACAAGGAATTGAGGAGGACTCTGCAATCACTTGCATGTGGAAAAGTGCGTGTATTACAGAAGGTGTGTGACTAATTGCTGAAACACCAGCTAATAAAGTCAAATTGTGACTATGATCTCTTGAAAACTTTAATGCTGATTCCGTTTGATGAACATGCAACAGTTGCCCAAAGGAAGAGATGTGGAGGACGATGACTCATTTATCTTCAATGAGGGGTTTACTGCTCCTCTTTACCGTATAAAGGTACAGCCACCGTGCTCTATGAATCATAGTAATATTGTGAATTGAATATCAAATTTTGGCATTTTTTCCTTTTAACTGAAGTCAGTTTATTTGGATTTAGCCTGTGACTAGAGGTTGAGATCAAGCTCAAAATGACTGAGGTTTCTATTTTACAGGTAAATGCAATTCAGATGAAGGAGACAGTGGAGGAGAATACAAGTACCACTGAAAGGGTTTTCCAAGACCGTCAGTATCAGGTCAATCTTCTTTCCCTTTCTCTTTCCAATTTCTATTTCTTCATGATGATTTAGCATTTTTTTAATGATTTTATGAGCTGTAAGATATTTGCATCACTGGCATGGTCTATTGCAGGTTGATGCTGCTATTGTGAGAATAATGAAGACCCGTAAAGTCCTAAGCCATACCCTTCTTATTACCGAACTCTTCCAACAGGTGAATTCCTTTTCCCTTTCACCCCCCTTAAACAAAACAATCTTTCTCAAAGGTTTTGCTGCGCAAAATGTAAAGGAATAAAACATGAAACAAGATTTAAAAAATGATGATAAACAAACCAAACAGACTGTGAATCACCAAGTTGTTCCATGGTATTTAGATGGAGTTGATGTGGGGACTGGGGAGTACCTCCTTGGTATCATCCCCGAGGACAAAGATTACTGCAGACACAGCTCAAAAGATCCTTAGCCTTGATTTGGAGAGGAAAAAAACAGAAAGAAGAAGGAAAAAAAAAAAAACGGAAACTAAGTTGTAACTTCAGAGAACAAGAAAACTCACGAGTTACCACTTACCACTGATATCTTAAGGACCGATTAAAAATTTTGATACATCTCTAGTACATGACCTAGTGTGCTAGATACACCGCGACACTTAAAAATACACTTGGATAATTACTTATTTTTCATGTATGGTTAACGTTATGCCTTGCTTTCCTATTGATGCCTGCGCTTCTCATCTGCTGATAATGTTGTGAAATGTGCTTTGCCTTGCGGTAATTTTTGGAGAGAACACTGAATTTTAGGAATTAAACTTATTTTTCTTTGGGTGAGCAGCTGAAATTTCCAATAAAACCAGTGGATTTGAAGAAAAGGATTGAAAGCCTTATTGACAGGGAGTACTTGGAGAGGGACAAGAGCAACCCTCAAATATACAATTACCTTGCATAGTGCGTTTCTCCGTCAAATTTCACTTCACATTCTCTTTTTCTAGAAGACATGGGAGAGAGGCCCCATGTTTAATCCCCATGTCCTATGTACAGTATCTATGTAGTTTTCCTCTCTTTTGTCCCTATCATTTATTGACAATGTTACTGTAATTGTAAAGGCTCAAATTATTGTCTGGAAGAAATTTTTTTTCCCTTTATAATCCTCTTAAAAGCCTATTCCTCAAAACATTCCGGTATCTTACACCAAGCAAGATGGGAAGTATCATGGCTCAAGGTTATTGACTTGAATTTTCAGCGTAGAGGCAAAACATAAACTCATCAAGGGAGGATAAAGATGATCCCACACAGACACTGTTTAAGCCGATTTGTTATACTAATCATTTTGGAAGTTGGGGGAATGGTGCCATTATCAAAATTTTTCCCTACTGAACCAGCTTATTGGTTTTATTTTGAAACTAAAATTAACTTATCTGTTTGCGGATTTCTGTCTCTCTCTCTCTCTTTTTGTTGAAACATTTATCTTTATTTTAAAAAAAATCTTGTGGTATAATTATTTAATATCTAGTAAATAAATTGGAGCATTGTCTGCTCAAGATAAGAGATGACACTCCCGGTATCCCTTGGGTCCTTATTAGTAGCAATTATTTAGGGGGTTTGTCTTGGTTATTTTCATAATACTTCTTTCAAATTAGGACAACTTGGGAAAATTATACAAGTTGTTGAAAAATTTAATGCCATTAACATAAATTAAATTTCATCAGAGTAGTTTTTCTATTCAAAATTCGTATCCTCAACTTTACTAAAAGGTTATCTTGTCTTTGTAGCATTAAGAAGACTTTTAGGTGGAAACAATTTATAAAATATTTTTAGCAGAATCAATCATGAAAAGATCCCAATAGACTTGAAGCACCGAAAGATGCTTAAACTGATCAATTTTCTGTAGTTAATTTAAGTACATTAATCCTTAAATCTTAATTGTAAATTTGTTTTGAGTCATCATGTATGGCCTGGTTCCAGTAAAAATTTATAACGTCCAAACAAATTTTATCCAACTTATTTTACATGTATTTGTTGTCGTATGTAAAATTTTCACTTTAATTTTTGCATTAATTTTTTGTGTGTCTCTAAACCGTTATTTAATTTTGACTTCATTACCATTTATTTATTAAACTCTTGACTCGTTAAGTACCAAACATCAAATTATTCTTCAATCAAATTTAAGCTTGACGATTCAATTTTTTAATGCGTTGAACAATTTGACTTTAATTTTTATTCTTAGCCATTTCCTGTTCCAACTAACTAATAGCAACAAGCCGAATAGATTCCTTTTTAATTTCAATCTTGTTCGGCTTCTCACATTGACCAGGGTCGCATCCTATCGTTCTTTCTTTCTTTTTCTCGTATAAAAAAAATTTAGATAAGTTTGATCAAAAAACTTACTAGAATTAGTCAGCTAGAATATGCTTCTAAGTTAAAAAAAACTTTTATATAGATATTTATAAATTGTTTATTAATAAAATTCTCACATCAATAACGAGATTCGAACTGACAATTTTAATGAATTGATTCTTTATTAACTAGACCCACTCTTATTATTAGTAAAGAAGAAAGAAACAGCACTACGTGCCCAACCTTTTCTGGTACAAACCCACTCACTTAAGGGTGCGTTTGTGTCATCATTATTATATTATTTTTTGTGTGTGTGTTCACACCCTCACGCGCACAAAGGCGCAATAAATACACACACCACAAAGTTAAGGTGTGCTAATTTTATGGATTCCTAGCGTCCGGATTTGAACATTACCAAGATGCCTTTCTGCTCTATAAAACATATACTTGAAAAACAATTATACCATTAAACAAGGATACATTCAGACGGTTGACATTTTAACCCGTATTATCTCACGCCAAGGATATATTTTAAGTTTTAATCATGGAATCAGAAGCAAAGAATTCCTAAGGCGAAGCATTTCTTCCAGCACCAAGTTTCATAATAAGAATTCTGAGTTGTTTGAGAACACCCAAAAGTGCTTTTACAAAATATTTTTTTCGCAAATTGAAATAAATTTCTCTACATATTTACTTCGTATACTGTAAAATCATTTCTAAAATCATAATTTGGTTTCCACCCAAACATCCCGAAATATATCTGCAGCTAGTTTAACAGAAACTTGAGATTTCATACCCTTTAGCTAGTGTCATGCTGACTCAATCAACACCACTAGTTTGATTCAGAAATCAAGCAATTCCCACGAGTCAATCAGGGTTACGAGCAAAAGCAAAGATGAATGATAAGCAATGCGGATAAAGAATAAGCAGATGGTCAGCAATTTTCTTTTTCCTTTTAAGACATTGGAGCAAGAGATATTGACAGCACGGTTATCATAAAAAAAAAACGTTACTAGTCCCACGTGTCTGATCCCCACTTGCTATTGCCATATTTGGCAAGAGCAAATGCCCACAAGAGTATCTCTCTGCCCATAATAATCTGTTATGTAATGCAATTGTGTTCACAGCTTCACTTGGCGCCTCCTAGTTCTCTGGTTTATCCACCAATAACGACAGATAAATTACATAGCAACATTCTCCACAGACTGCAAGACTTTTCGAAGTTTAAACTCTATGTTATGTATATAATGGTGTAGAGTTCATTAAAAGAAAAAATTCCACTCATTAACTAAAGTTGCCCATCCAAAATGCATCACAATCAGGGCTCAACACTTTCAGACAGATGCTGCCCAAAGAGATCCACCGGCTTAAATATTAGATGCTACAGTAGTTTAAGGTACAGTTAACTTGATTGGGAAAAAAAATCCCCAAAATTCAGAGAGCTTCCGAGTTACCCCATCCATCAATTTGATTAATTTCTAAATTGCCATGCGTCGTAGAAAAACATAATCTGATGTTTCATCATGTTTCCATAGTCTAGGCAACCTTAGAACAAGTACTCTTAAAGGTAACTGAGACAAAGAGGCACAGGCCCCAGATACATCATTTTGACCATGCTGACAGTTAGCAAGATTCAACAAGAAGCCTTATTCTACTAAATGAGGCCAGTTACATCAATTACCCAACACCAGTGTTTCACCAAGAACCAATTCTAGAGATCCCAATAGATCCCATTCAGTAATTTCCTTAAATGTCCTTCTTGGTCTCCCTCTGTATCTATTCATAGGGTTAAATATTGTTAGGAAAAATGAACATATAAAAATGGGGCCCGGTTCTACACAATTCAGCATTAATCAGTACATAGGGCTTTTTAATTACTGTAACAGTATTACTGGTGTACACAATAAATGAAGCTGATCACCAACAAGGTTCAACCGAATGATTGACTGCTGAGGCTATTAAAAGTGAAATCTAGCATCTGTCCTTTTAAAAATTGATTCTAGATTAACTTGCAAAAAATATGACCAAAACTCATGACAACAGAGTCATGCCACAGAGAACATTCATCAAGGAGAAGGAAACAAGGCAATTAAGATTGAACAAGTAAAATCATAAAAGAAAGTAAAAGAAGAAATTACCATTAATACATTTCAATAACTACTACAAACGTTTCTCCACACAGCCACTATAAGTTTCAGACCTTTGGTAAATATATCTAATTACATTTTATTCAACAACATCCATAACATTCCAGAACAGTGTAAAACTATGCAAATAGCACCTGAGAGCTTGAAGGAGTCAGATCAGAGAAACTTTCTGGCGCATCAATCACATGCCATCGAACACCAAAGCTCCACTTTTTGGTACAATCCTTCTTTGAGTTCAGTCTAAGGATTTGACCAACTGCAACATGAAGATTTCGGCCCACAACATAAATATGGCAATCACAAGAATTCACAGCAAAAGGTTTGCATATTTGCTCAGGCAATGGGGGCCCTTCTATGGCTTCCCAAGAATCAGATTCTGTGTCATAAACCTTAACTTTCATTCTTTCAAGCTCTGAAACAACAAATAGGTGCCCATAAACCACAACACTTGAACCTGTCCACCCTTCTCTAAGTCCTACAGCCATATTTTCCCAGTTATTCGTTCTTGGATCATAGATCTGACCTCTAGGAGAGACATAAAATGGCCATAACCAGCCCTCTGTCACCAGAAGCTTCCCATTAAGCACTGCAGCATCATAAGATGCCATATTTGTTCCCATGCTAGCAATAGAACGCCAACTACCATTGAGAGGGTCCAACACCTCAGCAGAATCAAGCTCAAAAAGGCCTGCACTGTTTCCCCCAGCCACATAAATCATCCCATCAATCACTCCACTGGCAAAAAATGACCTAGCAGTAATCATTCTATTCATCACAGTCCAACGATTTTTCTGCATCTCGTATTTCACTACCAAGTCAAGGGGACAATCAACATCAGAGACCATTCCACCACATACAAAGAGAACGCCTTCGTGGGGAATAGAAATACACCTAAAACCATGGGGACAAACCTTATCCTTACATGGCATTGCAGGGATGCAGTGCCAAGAAAAGTGGGTGAGGTCAAGAACCTGCCACTGGATCTTTCCAGTGCACTTGTGGTAGGCAAATACAAAAAGCCAAGGGCCTTTCAAACCCAATTGCTTCCTGTGGGTAAAAAATCTCTCTTTACTACCAAGAAGCATACGCCATCGCTTGCAGACTCTACAGGTTGCATGACTCTGAACTGGAAGCCGGAGAAGACAATTGAGCGCAACATCATCAGGGAGGCCCGGAATCAAGGGTTCTTGGCAGTGAGAAAACTCTAACTCTGGTGAAGGATTTGAGAAAGAAGATTGGACCACAGCTAACCTAAATTTTGGGGATAAGGTCATTTGAGGATCTCCTAGCTTGTGCACGGGCGCCTGTTGAGATGACAAACGCACACGCTGCATCTTTCTCTCTTAGAAAGATACCCAAGCTCTTCAGAAACACTACACGGTTTACTTTATTATCATGCAAATGCAATTTTTCAGCAGGATTGGAAAAACAAATTCCAATCGAATGATGCGAATATATTCCAAATTTGCCTGAACTGATTCCCTCAAGGGTTTATTGCAAATAAAGGAATCCCCAAATCCAGCATCACAATGAAGAAAAGCACCAATACCTCTTCCACAACAATCTAAAGGGTTATCAACACCCAGAAAAATTCCACTTCTCAAAACACACTCCTTTGAACGTGTCCGGTCTTAAGGAGATATCGGACTCTGCTCACTTAATCTCAAGCCAGAAGCTTAATCACCAGATACTAAACTGGGAAGCCAAAAGCATGTGCCACAAGAACTATATTGCTAACTTGGAACTTGCAAAACCCCCCAGAAGAACACAACGTCTCAGAAGGGACAACTCAAAAATCTCATATTCTCAACCTAAGGAACCAAGGGAAAAATTGATCGAAACAACTTAAGAGAAAAGGGAAACAAAAACTTACAGGCAAGGAAGTGCTAAGAGCGGGTACCAAAAAATCGAAGTCGGTGACTAATAGATGAGATTCAGGGTGAATTCGTGCAACTAGAGGAGGTCATTGTTAATTTCTTATTCGAGAAAGATTTCAATTTCATTATTCTGTGGCAAATACGACGCCTGTAGTTTCAGATTCATACGAAGTCACGCGCCGTTTGGGTTAGACATTTGAACACGCATTCGTAAATGCGAAGACTGCTCGGTGTTTCACGCGCCACGCGACCTGATCATCCTATTCGATATAAAATAATATATATTTTTCAATTCTAATATAAAACTCTTATTTAGTATATACACTATATAAAGATTTTATATTTATTATATACACTATACAAGGGTTTTATATTTAGGATCGGAAGAATATATATAAAAAAAAAGCACAAATACATATTACATGGCTTGCTTTAATTTTTTTAAAAACCCAATAACAACAGATATTTTTGGAAAATCCCAAAAAAAATTATTGAATTTAAAATGACAAATCAAGAATTATTACAAAAATGTATTGGTATTTGCTTTTGAGTGTAGTAATTTTTTTTTTACAAGTATAGTAACCAATACTAATTTAAAATTTAAAATTCAACAGTTATTTTTTGGGATTTTCCCATATTTTTTGGCCAAAAAAATAACAACAAATATTCATAATTCGTATTCATGCAAGCGCGAGCAACCCACTTACTACAAAATATAAAAAATAAATTATTTTATTTATAATTTATAGATAATATGGTTTATTACAAGTTTTGTTTAAATATTCAACTGCAATCATGATTAGTATATTAAACCTTTTTTACAAAAAAAAAAACAAAAAAGTCATTAGCATAAGAATAAAGAAGCTAAATTAAACTTTCATATTGACTCATATCAATAATAATGTATTGTTAATATACAATTTATAATTTTGGCAAAAAAATACAATGTATAAATACAATTTGCACATTATAAACATTATTCATGAATTATATCGTACAACTTGTTCTTTATATTATCAGAGTACGTTGTATAGTGCATGAAAGCTTGTAGTCGTAGTCATGTTGGCTATATTTAAAATGTTTTTAGAAAATGGAAGTTAGAATGAGAAAGAAAACTGGTTTTCCACAAGATCATGCCGATATAAGCAGTCTGCTTTAAAATAATATATAAAATAGAAAATTATGAGAATTATATTACTCTATATAGATGGGAGAAATTAAATCTCTAAGATCTTTATGTTTGCAGAGAATAATACTGAAAAAATAATTCTTTTAATTTTCCTTTAAAATCCCAAATATTTGAAAAAGAATCCCAAATATTTGAAAAAGAATGCAAAGTTGATACACAAATATTCTTCATAAAAATGAAGATAATTAGTCCCAAACTTAAAAAAAAAAGAGGTTATTTTTATCATCAACGTTCTAGTTTCCAAAGAAAAATGTGTTGGGGTTACGTGAGTGAGAGTGTTAAAAAAGAAAAGGTCACGCATTGCTTAGGATTATGGGAGTGTAAGTATATAATAATACTACCTTCAATTTTGTATATGAGAGTTAAATAAATACTTTAAAGATACTAAAAAACTAATTAAATTAGTCATTCGTTTGTGTGTTAATCTCTCTAAACTATCTTTTTTGATCATATGTATTGCATGATTACAATTATCCTTTGATAGGAATTTTTTTACAATCAATAAGGATATTTTGAGAAAAGATAAAAAAAATGAATTAGAATTTTATATTTATAATGAATTCAACTCTCAATTAAATTTTATGGTTAAGGTATAATTTTAACCCTAATCTTATTTTTTAGGTGCAATTTTGTTCATAATTTTTTTAGTGATGTAATTTTGACCCTGATTATTTTCTTTTGATGTAATTTTGCTGATCAGGATCAAAATTGCACCTGAGAAAAAAAGATCAGGGATAAAATTGCACTTGAGAAATAGGATCATAGGTAAAATTTGTACTACTAAAAGATGAGGGACAAAATTACACCTAAGAAATAAGATCAGGGTCAAAATTATACCTTAACCCTAAATTTTATATTAATAACCGAAACAGTAATGTGTTTTTTGGGTAAGGTAAAGAGCCTAAAGACCAGCGGCATGTCGCGTGCATGACAGCGAACTAGCTGAGACAGTGCAGGTGAGCTCCGGTTATTACAGTTTTTCAAGCACACTACAGCGAATTATTTCTCTCTTATCTATTCTTCTCAGAATTATTATCCTGATTTTTAATATAAAAACTAATTAACTAATTTAAGTATATTAAAAAAATTAGTTAAGTTAGTTATTTGTAATATATACGTATTGTTTTCTAAAATATTCTTATTAATCAAGTGTATTGGCTAGAACTATTATTATTATAAAGATTATCTCAGGAAAAAATAGATGAATATGAAAAACAAAATAAAATTAAATCTTATATTTAGAATCAAAATAAAAATCAAATAAGCGTTTATATTAAAGATAGGAGGAGGTAATATTGTCCTTTGTACAAGAATGATGATAATTTAATTTTATAAAATCTTAAAAACGTAGGGTAAGAGTCAGATTGTGACTAGTGATCAACTAACACAATGATTAGGTTCCCTTGTCACGTTGAGTGAAAGCAATATTTCATACCCATCTCATCTGCTTAATTAGAGGAATTTACAAAATCTTCAAAGGTATATTCAAGGAATTTATTATTGACTAATTAAGTCCCCAAAATCATGATGTTTAAAACCTAACTCAAATTGGATGGTCATGCCAATGAACTATTATCTCAGTTCTTTGTTCAGTTTAAGAGCTCTGAAAAAACTCTCTCAGTATACTTATTGTCAGTAAAAGCGCATGATTTATCTTTTTATATTCATTTTTTAATAATTTGATTGTGGAAAAATATCCTCATTATCATGTTTTCGTAACTGTAATACCATCCGGTCTTAATTATAAGAGCCAGTTGACTAATTTGAGGATATTAAGGAAATAAATTGAGTTAGTTATTTGTTCTAAGTAAGTGTTGTCTTCCTAAAATATCCTTGCTAATCAAGTGTATTGACTAGAACTATCATTGTTAGAAGGGCTATTTTGGAAAAAATATATAAATATGAAAGAAAAAAGTGGATTATGGTTTATATTTAGGACGAAGTAAAAGTCAAACAGGATCTTATATTAAGGATCGGAGAGTAGTAGTACAATCCAAGCTATTCATTCATTAAAAAAATTTAATATGCAATTTTTTTAATAATAAATCTATTTTTTAGAAGAAATGTTAGTTATAAGATTATCTTTAAATTTTATACCTATTAAAATAAAAAAAATTAATTAAAACATATAATAAATTTATATTTAACCTGGACTATCCAAAATTAATCTGAATAGTCTAAATTAAAATGAATACTCTGCTTATTATTGTGATAAATATGAACATGCTCCCGAGTTTGTTCTATATCTTGAATGGAGGAAGCTGTCATTGGGAAAAAGTTTAATACACTCATAAAGTTCAGTCCTATGAATTGTGGCTTTTAATTCATCTAATATGTCATCAGTAATTTCCTTTATACTCTCTTTTTTTCATACAAAGTGAATATATTACCTCCTGTTCTAAGCTAAACTATACATTTAATCCTTTAATTTTATATAAAATTTTAATTTGATCCCTTAATTTAAAAAATATACTTTCAGTCTTTTAACCCTAAAATTATTAGTATCAAATGATATTTTTTGTAAAAATTATAGTTGTTTTGAATATTAAACTTAATATGTTAGTATTAGTAATGTTTTATCAACATTAAGAGTTTAATATAATCATTTTTTGTTAATAGTTTTAGAGTTAAAGGACTAAAAGTTTACTTTTTAAAATTAAGGACTAAAATGAAATCTTGCGTAAAATTAAAAAACTAAAAAATATATTTTAGTCTCTATTCTAAATATTAGTTGGTATTCAAAATAGTGAAAATACCCCTACAGCCTACTTCCTAATCCTAGCCCTCTAAAATCCAACAAATCCTCTAAACCGAAAAAAAACAATCATATCCCAAAAGAAATTCAACAACTTGTGTCGTTTCTTCCTTGGCTTTTACTAGCATCCCTTGTTGAAACATTCATACATTTTATTAGTTAAATGCTAGTGTAATTAAATGCAATTTGATTGAAAATTATTTATTTTTTAAAAAGTATTTCGTCACGTAAAATATAATTATAATAATATGTTTTGATTCTTTTAATTTTAAAAAAACATGAATTAAATTAAGAAAATTTAAATAAAAATAAATTATAAAATAAAAATCATAAACGGATCCGGACTGACCACGTGTCAAACAAGAGGACGCCACGTAACCTGTGCTCCCATTTCATTCCGCCTCGCTCTGGCCTCTCACCCTTCTTTCAGTCTTCAGTCTTCACTCTTCACTCAAGGCTCGTCATTTTTGACCAGAAAAAATAAAAGAAAAAAAAGCTGTTCATCGTCTCTCC